TTCTGTAGCCGAGGATCAGACCGCCAAGGGCCCAGCCCTCGACTACCTCCCGTCACACACTGCACCCGACCCTTTTGGCCCCTCCCACGAGTGGTGAGCCCATGGGAAGGGGGACCCATGTTTCCTCTTCGGGCTGTGCCCGGCCGGGCTCCATGGGTGAAAGCCCGGCCACGAGGCGCTCACCAACGTGCCCCATCTCCAGGCCTGGCTCCAGAGGGGGGCCCCGGTGATCCACGTCTAGGCGAGGGAACACGGTTTCCATTTATATAATTCATCATAAGAGGTCTTCTGGCTGCTCTTTGTCTGATCCCTCACCTAGGACCTGTTTGCCATGGGTGACCCTACCAGAGGCAGATAACCTTAGACAACTTAGCTCCTAGGATCATTGAGACACTCAAACCTCTCCACCACGGTAAGGTGGCAGCCCAGGGAGAAGCTCACACAGATTCTTTTTTTTATCTCTTCTCAGGGTGATTTGTCTGTTTTCTCTTTGGATTTAGCAGCTTAGTAACACCCTTGTCGCAGATCTACTGCGGAGGTGAAGAAACACCTCACATATGATGAGGTCTCATTTAAACCACAATTCAAAACTGAGAGTCAAATAATTAATTGAGACATTTTACATAGTGCCTCCGCTGATTTACTTTTTGCTGCCACTCACATACAAGGGTAAATCTGAATCAGCCAATGAGAGAGACCACCAACTTTTATCTTTTTTGGGGGGGGGGAGGGGTCAGGTCAAAGGGTTCTTTCAGCTGTTATCTCTACTGTTCGGGCTTGGATTATCTAGAACATTTCTGATGTTTCTGCACGTTCCTCTTTACATTTTCATCTGCATGTATCAATTAGTTCATTAATGCTCAACCAACTCATCAGTCATGATTTAATGAATACATTTACTGGACCAGGCTTAAGCATTATGTCACAATATTTTCACATTCTTTAAATGTAATTGACAGCAGAGCCTAGTCTTCACTAAATTAGTTTAATACATATTTCAACTTGAGATGTCCGATCTCATCGGCTGATTTTGGCATTTAAATGTAATATTGGAAATTATCAGTATTGGTTTTTGTTCTTTTAATGACACAACTTATTAACCTAGAAATCTAGACAAACTGTGGTATTCGCAAAGTATTTTGCTCTACAGATTGATCCAGCCACCCTCCATTGTAGCCTCAGCAGGTCTATCACTGGCTCGACTGAATATAGGCCGTGCCAATCACAGCGCTCTATGTTTGTAGAGGGCTTAGTTCCAGCAGAGCTGCAACAAAGACGGCATGGGCTTAAGAATGGCGCTGGTTTGAAACAACTTTGCGCAATTTATTCTTGGGCTTTTCTTTAGTTTCTTTTAGAAAACAATGTTGTCAATTTGTTGTTACGGCGAGCCAGCATCAGGTTGTTTATAAGTGGGGTAACCATTGTGGTAATGTGGCACAACCGTGTCCTTTTTAGAAAAGATCATGCAATGATGGTACTAAAGGAGAATGGGGGCGGTCCCTGTGCTACAGCGAAATTCCATTTATCTTGGAGATAACTTGCTTTTCATCAAAGCCACACTCATTACATAGACACGGTGCTCCTAACGGTGTCTGTCCTCCACAATCCTTTTGCAGTCTCTGTCGATCTGACTTCCAGCTCTATTGGAGAGAAGCTCCTGGAATGCTGCATCACTCCAGTTTATCATCTCAGCTGGTTCTGTTTGCCAAAGTGAAACTTACTGCCCGAGTTTACTTTCATTTTCGCTATAGTTGCCGGCCAGAGCTCGGCAGTAACTCCCCACGTGATGATGACGCCTCCCTTTGTTGTGCCAAGGTATAAAATGCATTCACAAGTCTGTCGTCGTTGCAATTTTACTACCAAGCGTGGTGGCAAGAATGCGTTAAATGGCACATTTGAAAGAAACATGACATGACAGGACTACTGATCTAGCATTGCATCCTTTTCGTGCTTTCATGTGTTTTGTGTTTTCTCTGCTTCACTTTGTTCAACTGAGGTGTTAAACTCATGCAGCTACCATGTCTGCTTGTTTAGGACCACCAGAAGCCCTCTGAGAAAATAGAGCTGTATGCGTGTTTTTAATTTTGCCTTTAGTTAATATACTACCTATAACACATTAGCCAAGCCAACTTTATTTATAAAGCACTTTAAAAGAGCAGTCCAAAGTGCTGCACACACAAGTAAAACACAAAACACTTAAAACTGTTCAATTCAATTCAATCCAAAAATACTTTATTAACCCCAGAGGGAAATTGATTGCTGTAGTAGCTCAAAGAGTTATTGTATATTACCATGGCTGTTGGCAGGAAGGATCTCCAGTAGCGGTCAGTGTTGCAGTGAAACTGAAGAAGCCTCTGACTGAAGACACTCTTCCGTTGTCGGACAGTCTTGTGAAGAGAATGCTCAGGGTTGTCCTTCATTTTCTTGATTCTCTGGAGAATCCTTCTTTGCATTATCTCCTCCAGCGGTTCCGAAACTGCCAAAACTTTGGCTGAGTCCTTGAAAGGGCTTGGAGTTCCTCCATCTTGTTGGCCAGTGATCTCACATCGCCCATTATGATCGATGGAAGAGATGGTTTGAATTTCCTCTTTCTCTGTCTCCGTTTTGCTCCCGCTCTGCAACCACGCTTCTTGCGTTTTAGCTCATTTGGGATTTGTGGCTTCAGTTGAGGTATTATTTCAGCCTTTCCGATGTTAATCAGCTGCTCCCTATTGTAAACCAGCTTGTTGCCATGGTTACACATCATAACAAATGCTCAAAAAGTGAAAAAAGCTAAAAAAATAGCAGTAAAAATCCTTCAAGCTTCACAGCACCAGAAACCGAAAAGTAAAGTGTCCAAAAAATACAGTTTTTCTTGAGAAACTAGAAGAAAAAATGCCCAAGAAAAGGCAAAACTTACATATAGTCAACAGAGCTACTCCAACATGCAGCCACCCAGAGCAGCGCAGTTCCGGGAAAAAAATAAAAATAAAAAAAAGGGTTATAAAAATGGTTATAAACGGTTAAAAACACAGAGGAATAAAAAACAATAGTCTAATAAAACATACAAGTGATACTCAGACTGGATCAAGAGCCACACCGAACAAATGGGTCTTCAAAAGTGATTTAAACATATCTAAAGAGGTGGCCGTCCTAATGTGTGCTGGCAGTGTGTTCCACAATCGAGGTGCCGCAACAGCAAAGGTCCTATCCCCTCTGAGCTTGCAATATAACAAGGAGCAACTGGTTAGTTGTCCTAAGTACCCGAGCAGACGATTGATTTTGGAGTAGCTCAGAAAGGTGAGGTGGAGCAAGACCATGTAGAGACGTATCAACAAATAAAAGGGAATGATAAAGGAATGACTCACCAGAAGCCTCCCTCAAATACATTTGCATCCACAAAATAAAAAATCATCTAAATGATTGAAGAATACCGAATCTGGACACCGGCATTTACAATTTATAACAAATTTACAGAGAAATACGTTGTCACTGATATATGTGTGAGAATTAGGTGCTGTTTGTTTTTTCAGGGTGGGAGGGGGATTACAGGGAATGCTTTATACATGTTGATGCATTATTAATTGAAAACCTAAAAACATGTTATGGGAAAAATACCAAGTTCATCTAAATCCTAAATACAAACGAGCTTGAGTGAAAAGTTGTTTTATTGAAAGACCTATGACTTTTTCTTTGAGGCTCTTCACATCCTGATTGTGTGCAGACTGACTGGAAATTAGGTCATGTAAAAGAATATATGTTTTCCCCTGCCTGCAGACGATGCATGTTTTATACGAATAAAATCAGAGGGTTTCTGCTGGGACTGACACAGTCTCAGAAACAGGAAGCAAATCAAGCAGGTGAAACCTTCAGAGAACAACAGATCTAAAAGAAGATGTAATAAAGACAACAATTAGCAAAAGGATGTCCCTGGAGCAGATACATTATGCTCTATTTGTTTTTATTACAGAACATTTTGATGCAAACTCATTGAGCTAACCAAACCTCATGGAGTTTAGTCTGAACAACCATCAGCTTGAGACGACCTCAGCTGGGGTCCATTACTTACGATGCACTTTAGAGGCAAACGTCTGCACTTTGAAACAGCATGCAAAGCTAAGGACTTCCCTTAATGTCCTTATCTTGTTTGCTGACAAGAAACCGAACTTAGTGGCTGATGCTGATGTTGCAGGACAAGTAGATGGAAAAAGAAAACGGCAGAGATGCAGCTTTCATGGTTGAATCAGATCACTCTCAGTCATCTTCAGCAGAACGTAAACAGGAAGTGAGGCGCTGTTTGCAGAGAGAATGTTTACAGCGGTGCTGATGGGCTGTTTCGCCCGTTCTATTGGCTTCATGAGTCTGAACGAACAGCTGTGAGTCTGTAAGTGTGTTAATGGGTTCATGGGCGTCGGATGGATCGTTACAAATGGAGGGTTTTCCTTTGGATCAATTAGTCCTGGGATGACTGGATTCAGATCCAAAGAAGTCATGTGGAAGGCTGATCTGTGATGCATGTTATGAAATGAATATCGACAGCTGTAATCGATGAACAATGTGTAGTTGTGCATGTTTGGTGGGGTTTTTTTTGAGTGTGTGTTTGTGTGTGTGTGTGTTGGGGGGGGGGGGTTGTCTGAGCATCCGTCTGAGTGTATAAATGCTGAGGAGCAGGTGATAAGTGCAGAATGATTATTGATTGCTGGGTGTTTATGAAGTGTTGAGCATCTTTGGAGGCTGAGTCAACAATATGACCACAGCAGCTATATCATCACCTAGAGGCCAAAAAGCTGCATGTGCTGCTTTTTCACCTAATCAGTCCTACACCCCGCTGGTGTGATGTACAGAATTATTACCCCATAGGGGGTGATTCACCGTGGATCCTGGCTGTGTTGTCTCTTTCATTAGAGAGAGAGAGTGTGTGTGTGTGTGTGTGTGTGTGTGTGTGTGTGTGTGTGTGTGTGTTTTCCAGTCATGCTCAGATCTCAATACATCAAACTGAACTTGTGTTTGGTTTTTTGCAGAGAGACACCAAAGGTCAGTTCCTGTTGGACCACGTGTGTAACCACTACAACCTCCTGGAGAAGGACTACTTTGGGATTCGATATGTGGACCCTGAGAAACAAAGGGTAACAGCTACTGCCAGTAATATTTGTCGTTATTGCATTTCATTTACATATTCTGTAATGGCAGTTTTTCATGCTGTTTGAACCTGAAAATAGTCTCCTACATCTATCTGCCTGATTAGCTTCTGATAGAAATTGATGGGAATAGCTCAGATTAGAAAAGCCTGACAGATCTACCTCAAATTGAAAGTTAGCATTCATGGACTCATCCCTCTTGGCTCACAGGAAACAGCAGTGGACATCTTGGCTAGTTTAAGCTAATCGTTAGCATTAGAAACACCACCACACAGCAGAACTTCTCAAGACCTGAGTTATTTGTGGAGATAAAACATCAGTGTTGCAAGTCAGTGGTAGAGTTGAGTTGCTGTTCTCCAACACAAGATGTACAAATATTAGGAAATGAGACTCCAAAACCTGCTGTCTGAAGCTCAGCTGTGATGCGGGCAACTTTTAGGTCTGAGATTCAGTAGTTCAGTAATAGAGACCCTAATCTATTGAGAGTAAGCCACTTCAAGTTATTTTTTATTAGGCCATTACAAAACAATGAGTCTGATTTATATTTTTAATTTAACTTTTTAAAAATGCTCACACATTTAAGCACATATTAAACTTCCCAGCATCCTATACAGCCTTAATTTTGTGTATTTTTTTAGTCCTTCTTCTTTCCTTAATTTCTTTCAGCACTGGTTGGAGCCAAATAAGCCCGTGGTGAAGCAGATGAAATGTAAGTTTTTCTCTGTGTGTGTGTGTGTGTGTGTGTGTGTGTGTGTGTGTGTGTGTGTGTGTGTGTGTGTGTGTGTGTGTGTGTGTGTGTGTGTGTGTGTGTGAATACCCTTGTTTACGTGCCTTTGTCTCTTCGCGTGTTGTTTGAGAAGGTCAAGTTCTGTCTCAAACAAATAACACCACAGGGACTCCAGGAAGATCAAAATATCCTCCAAAGACAGCGCCAACGTGACCGGATTTGCCCAAAAAATCTGATGTTAAACGGCATGATAGGAAATTTTAATATTTAGGGTTTAAATAGGTTTAAACTAATGAACAATTCCTCGTGGACCTTTAAAGCCGAGAGTTTAGGTGTTATTTTCACCCATAATCACTGCTGCAACTGGTGACTAAAATCAGACGATGTCAGAATCATCCTCAGGCAGCCGTCAGGGAGACAAAGAGAGACCTGACGACAGACGAACTGACAGAAGGAGTTCTGCAGAGCCCTGGAACGACGCTGCTTTAGTGGATGTCTATATAAATATTTAAAACCTCATAGAGAAAAAGGTGAAGGGAAGCTATTTATACATGCTTGGTCGCAATAATGGTCACACCTACAATAACAATGAAAAAGCTGTGTGTGTGTGTGTGTGTGTGTGTGTGTGTGTGTGTGTGTGTGTGTGTGTGTGTGTGTGTGTGTGTGTGTGTGTCCAGCTATCTTCAAAGTAAACTTTTCCTTTAATTTTTCCTTCTTTTCTGACTTTTGATTTTCTTTCATCCGTTTCTTCCAATATCTGTTTTCCACACTGACTTTTTATTCCTGGGAAAAAAAGTTAAATCATTTGTTTTTATTTTTCCTGATCCTGAAACTCCTCATCCTTCATCTCCAGGATTTACGTACTGTCTTGAATCCCGTTCTCTCCTCTTCAGATTTTCTTTTCTCTTCTTCATAGTTTTACTTTTTGATCCTCAGTTCCATTCCGACAATTTCTCCTCTGCACTTCTTGATGTTTTAGATTTAGTTCTTCGCATCTTTGTTTTAGTTTTTTTTCTTCTCTGAATTAATCTGGGCCTCTTGCAGCATTCTCATCTCGTTGCTGAGGTCATTTACTTTTCTCCTCCTTTCTTCCAGATGCTTTCTGTCATCCTTCCAGTGTTTCTGCTCCATGGTCCCAAAATCTAATTATTATCAACAAACTTCAGATTTAACTGAATGACATCCCTTTTCTTTAGTTCATAGTTTTAGGATACAATTTCATCTGGAGATCTGCTTTTTACTATTTAAGGATGTAGATCTGCAGTTCACCCTCTTAAAGACTGTTCTTTTGGTCCAGATTCAAACGAATGAGCTATTAGTGGTGCGCTCTTCTCCAGCAAAAGAGAAATGATGGGCAAGCTGCAGATATTTTAGAAAAGTGAAGTGAGATGTCAGATTCAGGAAAGACAGAACCAGAGCAAGTTATGGGCCATTCCCATCTGTACCGGGTCGGCCCGGGCCGGGTAGCGTAGGTTGTTTACATATCTGGGTGGCCTGGTATTTTTCCGGGCCAACCAAGGCTCATTCTCAGCCCTCTTCTCGAGGGGGTCTGCTTCAGGCCGACCAGGGCCAACACACCCACTGCTGACAGCAAATTCACACCTTCCATTAGAGCAAGCCTCTGATTGGTGGGTAGAATCAGCCCACATGGGCTTAAGACAAGGATGTGTGGAATCAACCGGGCCAGGCAGGGGCCGACTGGGGCTACCCGGCCCGGGCCGACCCGGTACAGATGGGAATGGCCCAATAGAGGAACTAATTGAGAATGATGCACAGATTGGTAACGGAGCTAACGAGAGAGAATAATAGAGAAAGACAGAAAGAAGAGATGGACGAGAGAAGCTGACAGAGTGAAAAGGAAATGAGAGCGAGAGCAATCAAGGGAGAGTTGGACTGACACATCAGTCCTGCCTCTCGCAGGATTCTGTTAGAATCAGTGGCTGCGCCGGGGGGTGGGGGTAGCTGTAGCTACCCCTGGATTAGTATTGCGCCCCCAAGTAAATGTTAGATTTTTCTTTTTTTTTTTACAATTTATTTTTAATTTAACGTGTGGATGTGATAATATTTAACATACAACACAAAAATAATCAGTAAATTATCACATAGATAGTGAAAACTTGGGGCTGCATGGTGGCGCAGTTGTTAGCACTGTTGCCTCACAGCACAAAGGTTGCAGGTTAGAAACTCGGCTGCGGCCTTTCTGCGTGGAGTTGCGCGTTCTCCCCATGCATGTGTGGGTTTCCTCCGGGTACTCCGGTTTCCCCCACAGATCACAACATGCCCTACAGGTTATCAATTGTGAGTCGCTTTGGATAAAAGCGTCTGCTAATTGAATAAACATAAACATAAAACCAAAACAGGAAATTGATGTTAACCTTTGACCTCATTTTCCACCAGCAAACGAGTGAAAGGTAGAGCTAGTGGTACAATGGATCGGTTTTTGTTGCCCAAATTTCCACGGGTTCAGTCAGAAACTAATGAATCTTTGGAAGTGACCTCAGACCCACAAAAACCTACGGATCTGGATGAAGAGGGTCAACCCTCAGCCGCTGCAGCAGTCGAGGGTTTTGCCACTGGAAATGCTAACACTAACGTTAGCTAACCTTGCAACACTATAGATGGTTTTCTGTGTGGCTGTATGTGTTTATGATTTCATGGAAAAGTCAGCGATTGTTCATATGTTTATGATGCATATTAATGATTGTTTCAGGAGTTGTTGAGGTGTTGTGCACGCATGTGTATCTGCTAGTGTTGAAGGTGTTTTAGAGAACAATAGGTACGCATGACCACTTCCTTCATAGCACCCTCAATAAAAAGACTAGCTCCTTCATAGCACCTGCAGAAAAAAAATTCTGGAGTCGCCACTGGTTCGAATCACAGGTTTATGTGTGAATCTGTGGCTTGTTTTATCATATGAACTCTTTCTGTTTCTCTTTGTTGTTATAAATCACATTCATGAGACTGTTTCCATATTTCTGTGCCAAATAATTAAAAAAAAAAGGTTTCAAAAATGCTTCTGCCGTTCCTTAAGCCTGAGCAAATAAGCAGCTCAAGTTCTTAAGGAGCGGGTGGGAGGATTGCATCTTTCAAATTGCTCAGCATGTATTATGTAGATGTAGGTTGTTTTTATGGATAGATACATCAGAGGCTCCTGGCGTTAAAGGCAGGAAGGTACTGTAAAGATTTCTGGTTGCTTCTTTTCAAAAGCCCTTTTAGTGTTTTTAGCAGATTTGATAACAGCTATGTTCTAGGGTGGATTATAGACTTGACCTATGTTGATACTGAATAATACAAAATGCACAAATCAGACAAATAAATGCCTTTTAAGACTCAGTTCAGAGGAGAAAAATCCATTCCACTTCAAGTAAAATGTAAATGTTTGCATGAGAGGCTAAGATCTGTTCCCTTGTCTGTGTCCTCATTGCTGTTTCCCTTTTCACTTGCAAACAGTGTTTTATGTAAATTATTAATAACATTTTGCTTTTGTTTCCCTCAACTTTACTTGCTGTTACCGAATGCGTCCAATTTCCTCATCTCCTCCAAGAGATTGCATTGCATATGGAGAAATAGCCCTTGAAACTTCTCTGGTTGTGTTTTTTTTTTCTTTAGCAGCTCAGCAGCCGTACATGATGTGCTTCCGGGTCAAGTTCTACCCCCATGAACCGATGAAAATAAAAGAGGAGCTGACAAGGTGCGAACATTTATTTTGTTTTTGATGAGAAAGTGATGAAAGTGTTACTCATATGAGCCAAATGAAGTATTCAGATGAGTCTGATGTTGTAGATAAACTGAAAAGTTCAAATGGAAGTGCAGACAGTGCCGAACTCTTTAGAAGTCATTTGCTCGTGTCCCTCAGCATCCGTTTCCGTTCGGTTATTTGCTGATGTTTGCTTCAGTTTGCACAGTGTTATTCTAAGAGCACCAATTTCCTCTTAAACCTAATTTCCTCCAGTATTCGAGATGGTTGAGGAAAGAGAAATAGATTCACTGCCATATAAATTGTTCATCACAGATAAAATAATTCAGGAAGGGCAATAAAGTAAATGACGAGAAGGATAAAACTAATAACAATAAACTTCTAAATGCCTACTAGCTTCACCGGAACATGCACCCATCCCATCCTCCATGCTTCAGTTTGACAACCAGTTGAATGTGTCCGTTTACCTGCTGGTTTGGTTTGTTTGATCTCATTTGGAAACTCATCTGTATCCATAGCAACGCGTGTCCCCAGTTTCAGAGCCAACGAAGGACAAATCAGCGTGTCAGCAGCACGTCTGAACTTGCCTGTTTCCATAGTAACTTTGGTGCCGCTCTCCGTATGTTCAGCGTTTCTTTGGCAGTACCCTTGTCTTGTTTTGTTAATTGCTTCAGGAACATAATTTCTCTGCCATGGCTGTATTAGCGATTGCCCTTAAACCACTAGGAAATGCCACAGAGACAAGAGGCAGTTATGCATCTAATTAAGTCGCCTTTTATTAGAATAAATAATACATTTAGAATTTGATGCTCTAAAAACATTTTAGTCACATTTAGACCCTTTTCATGAAATTTTGATTTTGAAAATCAAGGACATCAAACTAATTTTAAAGCTGTTTTATTTCTTGTGGTTTGTGCTCTGTCAGGTATCTGTTGTACCTCCAGCTGAAGAGAGACATCTACCACGGCCGTCTCCTGTGTCCTTTCGCTGAGGCTGCATACCTGGGAGCCTGCATTGTTCAGGGTGAGGCCTGCTTATTCCTATTTAAACGTCAGGTTTCACCTGCCAGCACCTATGCAGCTCTGAACCCAATCCCCAAACAATTTCAGTTTAGGTCACACCGTCTTGCATCTAATCAATGATTGTCACACTAAATCAATGTCACAATAAAGGCTAACGACTCTGACAGCTCCTCGGGGGGTAGGGAGGAGGGGTAGTCGTAGGTAGTATCAGCTCTTTAAGCAACAATAGACAGCTACAATTTAAAAGCTTGACCCTCCCATGCTCCAGTCAGAATTGACAAAGCTACACGGACGAGAAGCGCAACCTCTTCAAGAAACCAAAGAAGTCCTGCTTCCTTCATTTGAACCCCTTTATTTAATTTTTAACGAACAATACAGCCTCTTGATTTGACCCCTCATCAAGCAGCTCCATTTCAAGCCATCAAGCCAATGTTATTATCCCACTACACCAAAACGCTACATGTACAGTATGTGGACCACTGCAGAAGGATACAATTCATTATTTTCTTTTCTCAATTAGGAACGAGAGATAAATGTTGAATCAGAGAGCTGAGTTTCCTGGTTTAATCTGGATTAGGAGGCTCTAACATTTAAATGAAGCCTTCTGGCTGCTGCATAAACCACTAAACGGTGTTAACAGTCTCTGATGGACTCAGGTCCTCAGAGAGAGAAGAGTGAGACTGGTCGGTTTATCTCCATCCAGAGCGGGTCTGCAGTGCAGCACCGGTGGCTTGGATGAACGGGTCCCTGTCCCACTTTGTCATGGAGCTGATTAGAGAGCTGGAGACCAGTTTGAGGATTATTGTTTAATTAAACCCTGGGCAAGTTTTTCATTTAACCTTTGTTATCAGTATTAATTAAGGATGAAGTTAAAAAGACATCACGTTGTCTCTCTGGGGCTTGGTCTGGATCTGGTGAGCAACTATCCTTCATTCCGTCACAGTCATGGATCAATCCTTTTGCTGTTGGAAGGCATTTAAAGTAATCACTTTTAGTTATGATTTCCACAAATGTGTCATTTAACATTCACTCAGAGAGCACAAATTTTCTCACATATACTGGAAGCCAGAAACAGTTCTAAAGATTCTAAATCAACATTCTGTTTTTTAAGTTTTAAGTTTGTTTAGTCTTTTAGACAAGCTGTTCATTTAAAATGTTGACTGGTTTGATGGATTTAAATATGTGTGTGTTATTTGTATAACAATGAAAATTCATGTTGGGTTTATTGATTTTGTTGGGAAGCACAGATAAATTAAAGTGTGTCGTTCCAAATATAGGTCCATGAGGAACTCCATGAGTCATACATAGGGAAAACTATTGGCTTTAAAAAATATATATATAAACTAAAATCTTTGTAGGGATGTCTGGTATTATTGATCTACTATTATTATCGGCCGGTATTGGCAATAAACTTTAATATTGGAAATTATCGGTACCGGCTTTCAGTCTTGGAATGACAAAACTTTTACATACCGTACACATATTACACATCAAACTCTTCCGCTTGTGATGAGTGTTTTTGAAGACTCGGAATTCAGCCACACACAGGAGTTAAATGTGAAAGATAATTTATTAGAAGGTTGAGAATGTGGGGTGAGCTGGGTTTCTGCAGCTGAGCGCTGCAGGAGGGGTAAGTGTAGAGGGGAGACGTGATGGAGATGGGGGCAGTGGGAGCACTGGTTGGGTTAAGGAGTTCCCAGAATGTTCCTCTTCCGTCTGTGGATGCAACTCCTCTTCTGTGACACAGACAATGGTTATCCACAGAGAATACAATATAGTCCATAAGCAGGGTTTCACAAACAGCCAGAGGTCAGCAACTAGAGGCAGAGGCGGGTATGGTTAACAGGAGGAGCAGGCAAGAATCAGAAGCTGTGGTTCAGAGGACGGTCAAAGCCCAAAAGGTCAGAAAAGCGGTCAAATCTATTAAGGGCCAGACAGAGACAATCGAGGGACGTGAACATGGTACCGATTTTGGGAGAACGAGAACGAGAACTGCTGGAATGCTGAAAACCATCTAGCAGAGAAGTAGAGATCACTGAGGGTTTAGGTCGGGGAATGAACAGATGTGGATCATGAGGTCACCATGAGCTCCAGGTGAACTAAATGTTGCTGATTAGTGCAGGAAAGGCAAAACAACATGTCAGCAATAGGAGGAACATGAATCATTGCACAGCTATTTCTTCTCTCTCTCAAAATGTGAAAACATGACAACTCTGAGGTAAAGCTCTTGAGATACTTCAGTTCATTTGGAACAAATTGTGAAGTAGAAATGTCTCCTGTAGTGACTGTTCTCATCTGAATATCTTTACAAATGTTTTTTCACCATATATGCAAATTACAGAGAAAAAAAAAATACCGGTACATTAATAAGTAATACATACAGCTTAGGGAGAATGAGATTCAGCTGCTGTTGGAGACAAACTAAAATTGGCATTTTCCCTATAACTTAAATTGAAGAAGTTGTCATTTTGTACAGAAAATGTTTAAAATGTAAGCATGCATGATAGGAGATATGTGGTATTAGTAACGTAAAATGTTTATTCTTTTTTATGAGTGAGAGACACAGCGTATACTGGTATCGGTTTACATTGGTATTGGAAATAAAGAGTCAGACAATATTAGTATATTGGTAAAAACTCTAGTATCGAGCATCGCTACGATTAAAATGTGCCTGAGGTGGTTGGTTAAAAATTAAAAACATGTTATATTGGGTTTTACAGAAATAAGAAGCCATATAGGGCAGGGCAGACAGTCTTCTTTAAGATGCCACAGAGAGCTTCTGTAACTATTATTAACTTAGGTTTTTTGTTATCGTGAAATCTAAATCATCACTGAAACTCCTCTAATTATTATAGCTAATATATGCTCAAAGGATGTAATCATATAATCTTTCTTTTCATTGTCCTCACAGCTGAACTGGGAGACTTTGACCCAGAAGAGCACCCATCCGACTATATCAGAGACTTCAAACTGTTCCCTAAACAATCCCTGAAACTGGAGAGGAAGATTATGGAAATACACAAGAATGAACTCAGGTACTATTAGAAAAACAATGTTTTTGTGTGTCACGTGGAGAAGTTTGTTTGGAACATAATCTTTGTTATCAGCGTGATGCTGATGACAGCAGATGTGGTCTCCTGTGATCTGTTTTCAGGACGATCTCTACTCCACAGAAAATATAGATCTGTGTGTCATTTCAGCTGGAGACGGGCAGAGAAATCCGTGTTGTCATACTTTAAGGTGTTTTAGTGAACATTCAGTTAAAACAAAAGAAACACAGACAGAATTATTTGTCAGTTTTTTTTTCACGACTTTAAATTCTCAGACTGAACATTAGAGAAATAAACGAAAGCTGATTAAGCTCGTATATTAGCGTACACTTCATAAAGTAATGTAAATCCTTCCTGTGAGGTGTTTGTTTATCTCTGAAGTGGTTAATAACTTTGTGACGGTCACAGCTCCAAAGATTACGACACATCAAAGAAAAAACCCCCATTTCCTACGAGTGCCCTGATGGGTGTGCCTGACGGGATTATAGAGATTAACACTGAGCTGTAGAGACATCAGATGATTTAAAGGCATTTAAGGGGGAAAAAAGGTTTATGTTTGCATACAAAGATACATTTCTGTGTGATTTTAATATAGATCCTAAGTGTTTCACCCTTCAGTTTTAGTCAAGCACGCTGCCTTTTTATCTGCTTTAAAGGTAATCAACATTAATGTGTTGAACCTTTTGATGACTCCGTTCAGCTGTGTGTAAATACACTTGTTTTTCTTTTAGGGGACAGTGTGCTGCATTAGCAGAGTTAAACATGCTGCAAAAGGCACACGCTCTGGAAACATATGGAGTGGATCCACATCCTTGCAAGGTGAAGAACTATTTAAATATTAAACCATTAATTATTGTAATGATTTAAATCACATGTTATTTAATAAGCCATAAGGCGTAGTGATAGGTAATTTTTTATATATCCCATATTACCTTAAAGGATGACACACGTAGGATTCCATAGAAAATATGAAATCCACCTTATGGATCTGTGAGGTTATTTTAACCAGAAGATTGGAACTTTTTATTGCAGACATAGGCGTCATTTTAACCGGGGACGCCGGGGACATGTCCCCGGCAAAATTTGTGATTGGCAACTGTGTCCCCCCCACTTTCAAAAAAGCCTGCCTTTACTGTCCCCAGCAATTTTTAAACCCCACTCAAGTGAATGGTTATTGTCCCCAGCAATTCTGAAAACAAACTGACGCCCTTGATTGCAGAGATTAGATAACAGCTTCGTATTCACTCAGAAACAACAGAAGAGAGAGAGTTGAGTTTAAAAGTTTAAAGATTTATTACTAAACAAATTAAAACTAGACTAACTTAAACACTGACTGTATGGTGTAACTAAGGTGAATGAGATGGAGAATGGTGTGATGTGGAATGTTGCTCAGAACCAGCAAATCCGAAGAAGCGATTAGTTCTGATGGGAACTGAAGGTGATGTCTTCGCTCTAAGCTTTGGTTAGGAGATTCCTAAACACATTCGACACCATTTGTTGGTCTAGATACCCTTCGCGGAAGCCCCTGTCTAGATCAGGTGTAAAGGTCCAGCTTAACCTTGTGGAGCCGAAGCCTGTAGAAGCAGCCGCGGCAGCCGACCACCAGTCTTGAGATACTCCCGGGTCACGACAATTTTGTAGGCATCTAGTGAGACCCAAATCTGGGTCGTGATGGTTCGGCTTTTATTCTGAAAGGAACCGTTGCAGCAGTTGGAACAGCAACAGATTTTATCCAGCTTGTCGTTGGTTCTTTTGGTTGAAGAAGAAAGTTACGGATGGCCACTCAGACAACTTCTCTAGAACGCTTGAACTGGCGTTAAAGATGACACGGGCATAGTTTTATACTTCAGATGTTTTGGTTTATGGTCGAATGAAAAGATGACAGATTTACCAAGCACCACCAAAACCAGGCCTTCGTCAGATCTGGCAGATTCTGATTGGATCAGTGAAAGTAATGTGTCATGTCTTTTATCGCTACGTGAGATCAGTCCTAGTGGAAACATCTAAAGTCATATTACTTATTATATTCTATTGTAATAAAGTAATTAATATTTTGATTTCACAGATTAGTCACATCTTACTTATTGACTAACAGTTTGTTTGATTAGCTTTATTAAAATAGAGTTCTTTGATTTAATAAAAGGAGAGAGTCCTTTCTTCATTCTTCTCTTGAGCTGGAAAGAAGCAGTTTATAAGCAAATCTATAAGACCTTGAGGCCATATCTCCTGCAGACCAGTTCTGTGTCAGAGGAGAGGGGGAAACAGTCATTTCATACCGTTACATTATTTAGCTTTTTACTATCAAAATGTTGATAATCATTAATCAAAATGTAAAACATATGTTACATATCCTAGTGTGTACAGCACTATGCTACAGATGTGTGGAGATTATAAAACATATTAAGAAAATGTTGATATCAGAACAGGAAACTACGTATTTTTGCGTAAGCACCGTTTCCATGGAGATCTGGGATGCCCCACTTGCCTCCTTGCTGTTAAACCACCTGCATGACAAAATACACATAACTCATCTGTGTTTGTGTGTTTTCAGGACTTCACGGGGGCGACTGCATTCCTGGGTTTCACAGCCACGGGTTTTGTGGTTTTCCAGGGAAACAAGAGGATTCACCTCCTTAAATGGTACAAGTTTAGGTCGCAGATATCCACCTTTAAACACACGCAAGGATATTTTTTAAATCTGGTTTTGTTAAGAAACTAGAGCAGCATTTTTAATATTTAATTGAGGTCTAATAAAATAATTTTTCAAAGTAACAAAATTTGCATCCATGTTTTTCATGAAATTCTTTTTTTGTTGAATTTATTTTTTAAACGTATCCTTTGTTTATTAAAAAGTAAATATAATTTTTTCTAATTATTGCTTTACTTGAAAAACCTTGCCCAAGAATTTATAGATAAGGTTGTTTTTTAAATATCAAAATTGACTTCAGTATTGTACGGAAGAAAATCAGCACCATAATTCTAAACTGCGTTAGCAGAAAATGCTTTTTTTATTTTCACATTACAACAATACAAGAAGAGCGAGTTGAGCACTAAGGTTTGGAATATACTTGCTGTTAAACCTTGCGCTGGCGTGCAGCAGGCTGCGTCTTTGTTCACATACTTGCATGTAGTACTGGAGTGTTCCACTTGGGGTGCACCAGAGAACTCAGACCGGATAAAGAGCCGGGTTTGTGGGTACAACCAAAACAAACATGGCATCAATAAAATAGCTCAATAACCGGTTAAATTTGAGATCACGACAGATAAAAACCTGCAGCGGTATCGTTGATGGCGTGAAAGAGCTCTAAACCAGTGATGGAGTCACCATAGTGAGTGTGTCTTGCTCGTCTTGTCAATCCATCTACTGGTTACTCGTATATAGGGAGCCTAAGTTACTTCTGCATCACGGGTCCCCGGAAGAACGAAAAAATTAATGCAATAATGCAGAAGTGACTTGGGCCCCCATTGCAGTCCAGAACCAACAAAGCCAGGTCACCATCAGTCCGTGATTTTGTAGCTTCCTTTAGCTCCTTCAATTTAGTGTAGACAGCGCTGATGTTCACTCCTGTTTTAGCTCTTTGCTTTACCTCCAAATACATTAATCTCTTACTTTTACTTCCAGGCTCCTTCAAGTGAAAGTAAACTTCATTTTTTTCTTCTTGAACTTTTTATTGCTGGTCAGCAAACTGAAATGCTAACTGCTAGCATTATAGCTAACAGCCTTAAAGCAGGTAAAGAGCCCCCCTATACCTACCCGCTCCACAAAACTATCAAGTGTGGGTTTTGGTCAGCAGAGGGCTACAGAGCGGTGTCAGATATGAAACTGGTCAAAGTTCTAACTCTACAATCACCGAGATCAATGTTTAAGCTCTAGCTTAAAGTTAAAAAAACTATTTGTTGTTACTTTAAATTATTTTTTCCAACTTTGGTGCAGGTCTGATGTCAACAAGCTGAAGTTTGAAGGGAAAACCTTTTATGTCATCGGAATCCAGAAAGAGGTGAGTGTTGTGCCTGTAAAAGGTCTGAAACGATAAGTGAAATATTATTCGTAGCCTCCATCATGATGAAACATTAAATATAAAAGCACAGATCATTATCACCATCCAGTGATCTATTTTCAACCCTATTACTCCTGCTAGAACAAGTTTAATATCAGTTTGTAACCTCAGACTGAACTCTCCATCTTTGGTTCTCTGTCCGTCCTTCTTCCCTTCTTCCCACCCCTCCCTCTCTTCATCTGTGTGATGTCAGATTAACTGTAGTGTTTGTAATCCTGTCCACCATCACACAGAATCTATATGTGTGTCGCTGTTTCAGATCTCCTTAACAGGCAGGATTCACTGTAACAGGATGGTGGGTGTGTTACAACTAATTTCCTCACTCATGTGTCTGACTACTGTGCTCCAAATCAGAGATTCATTGAAGGCATCGCATAATAAATATTTATAAATGATCAACTGACATCTCATCAGCTGGTCTTACCTCAGCAGATGTCTTCGTGTCGGTGTGAATCATCCCACTCAGCTGTGGTAGAAACCGAGCTGCAGCTTTCAAACCTTGTATATTTATATTTGGCAAATGAAAAAGTGATAAATGCCACTAGTGTGAGCTTGCTGTTGAATCTAGCACTCATCCAGCTGGTTTCAATCAATCTCATGACTCTTATCTCCATGACAGTCTCGCTCAGCCCCTCCATCCCTGCCTAGCATGTCCGTACATTTGTCTGTCTGGGATCTCGTGAAGGGCCCAAGATGCAGTTTTATCTTTGCATTTCTGTCTCTTCTTTTTGTGTGTTATCATAGTCGTCCCGGGTGAGTAAAAATGAGACACAACAGAAACACAAAGCATTATTGAATCCTAAGTTTGACACGTCTCCCCACAGTCCTGCCCTCACCTCAGTCAATTAGCAATTTTTTTGTTCTATTTTTGTGTGTTGCTGTTTGTGTCAGTATGTCACATTCTCACTGTTTATTTCAGAGCAATAATTTCAGGATATTTTTTGTGATTTTTTTTAGATCCACTTGATCTGAATTACCTTCAGAACTCCATCAATAAAATGTAGATTATGCGTCATTATTATGCATAATCCTCCTCCTTCTATGTTTTGTGTCGTTTGTAAAACACTACTTACAAATGTTTATTGTCTTCATTACGATTGTGTCTTTCCACCTGATTTGTGTCGTTTTTGTTACCGTTTGTTCAGATTATGAATTCCCTCTCTGCCCCTCTCCTGTATTTATCTTTCCCACCTTGAGCTGACTGCAGCTTTTTGTGGCTTAAAAAGTGTAACACCTGAGAGAAATGGCTTCTTACTGGTGATTTAATGCATTTTTATTTGTCAAAGCTCCTAAATGTTCGGTTGATGTGTGTTAAAACTCCAATTTCAGAGTTTTGGGGAAGTTTAATACCATCAGGAAGGGGATCGCTGCATGTCAACCAAAGTGGGACTGAAATTTCACTCACACACGCACGCACGCACACACGCACGCACACACACACACACACACACACACACACACACACACACACACACACACTACTGTGTATTTGTGTAAAGAGGGAGCTGTACATCACAGCAGCCAACAGAAACCAGTTCTTTGCACTGCTTTGATAATTCAGAGCTGTGACATAGGCATCTTATAGTAACTCAGCCCCGTCGATTTCATCATTTCCTTTCTGCTCCTCTCTCACTCTCCGAGCTCGCCTCTGAGCGATATTGATCTGCTATCTCATGTTACCAGACATGCAGGACTGAGAACGAGACATCAAGGGGAATAAAGCTCTCCTCCTTGCCCATAAAGACTCATCTACTCCAGGCTACAAGCTCTTTTACTGCCGAACACTGAGACCAAATCACTTTATCTGCCTTATATCTTGCTCAGCTTACAGCTTTTAGCCTGCGGGTCAGCGTTTTGTGCAGCTCCCTCAGGTTATGTTCAGCACTTTCTCTTTATATTCCTGTTTTTGGGGGAATCACTCCCTGTCTTTTCTTTCTCAGTCTGTGATTTTTTTTTCTGTGCAGAAAAAACTGGTGTTGACATTTCACACCTCGACTCCTGCGGCGTGTAAGCATCTATGGAAGTGTGGCGTGGAGAATCAGGCCTTTTACAAGTGCGTCTGCACACAGAAACACATTATTATGTTGGCTTGCTATGAGAATGGCTTCAACCCCAAAATACTGCCTTATCAGAAAGGATGTATAACACACACATGCAATACTGCTTATGAATGACCAGAAACTCTGTTTAAAAATTTTCCTTGCTTTTAGCACCCCCTAGTGTCCGTTTAGTAAAACCAAAAACAAAATGTATCTCCTTGCTGTGCATTTGTCTTTTTAAAGTGAGAGTTAAGGCATGGGTAGAGACTTATTTCATCCACACTTCCTGTTAGGAAAGCGCTTCTGAAAGAGGCGTCGCCTGGAGGACCGAGAGAGCAGCTCTGAGGCAGTAATGGACCACACCCACCTCAACCCCCCACGTACGGTTTCCTGCATGTTCTAGATCATGAACACAGCTAATTTGTTTGATTTAGTGATGAATCACTCCTGTAGACACTAATGAAGGCTGTGGAGACATTTCAGCTGTCAGATTAAGGTGTTAAAAAGGCAAGCGCAAGACGAGGAGATACATTTCACTTTTGGTTTCACTAAACAGACACTAGGGGGTGCTAAAAGCAAGTCAGCTAGTCTTCTGCTTGTGTGTGTGTGTGTGTGTGTGTGTGTGTGTGTGTGTGTGTGTGTGTGTGTGTGTGTGTGTGTGTGTGTGTGTGTGTGTGTGTGTGTGTGTGTGTGTGTGTGTGTGTGTGTGTGTGAAAGAAAAGACTGAAGTCTACTTGATAAAGATTATGGAAGATGTCAGCAGACGTGTTTAAAGAATTCAAAACTAAAATGTCTCTAAATATTCTGTGCTCACACTGGTGATGATGTTGCACTCCAGAAGCTATATTAGACGTCCATTTTACATGTTTAAGAAATAGTTTATTTATCTCTTGAATGAAGATAGATTTATAAATTGACAGAGTTGGTTTTGTAGTTTTGAAAGCCTTCGTATGAACGCCCTCGTGTCAGTAACTGTGTGTGATCATGACTTAATGCCTCACGTGTCTCTGAGAGGCGGGCAGAAATGGTGCGAACGTCATCTCAGATGTCAGACGAGCATCAAAGCCGCTAAATCAAATCAGAGGAAATTGAGTTTGTAAATGGCTGCTAAGCAGAGGTTTAGGAACTTAAAGAAGTGTGTGTGTGTGTGTGTGTGTGTGTGTGTGTGTGTGTGTGTGTGTGTGTGTGTGTGTGTGTGTGTGTGCGTGCTTGGCTCTGGGGTCTGGTTTCACGCGATAAATCAACAGAGGGTTTGACATTCGACTGCAACTTTAAAAACGATGCTGCCCACAGCTCCTTCCTTTAGGACCAGTGACCCTCAAAGACAACAGGAATAGAAACAAACTGCTTTCATCATCGGTCGTGGAGAATTCAAGGTCTGTGAGGGTTTTACCTCAGTCAGCGTTCATGGCCATCAGTAAAACACTTGAATGAAACTGAGAGGCACAGAAGAATCCAGACGTTGTTCCTGAATTGTTAAATTGAATGACCAAATATGTAAAACAAAAGCATGTTCACATAAAACTCTTTCTGTCTGACAGGTGTGCAAAGTCAAGCCAGATAAAAACCGTCTCCAGCAGTAACATTTTCTTCAAAGGCAGCAGGTTCAGATACAGGTGAGGTGGTGGATTGTTTATGATGTCATCAGAGGATTAGACGCTAAGGACAAAAAAACCCTCAACTGGATTATAACATTGCGCATCTCAGATTATTGATAAAACTATCACTGTTTGTTGCCAAATCAACAATAGTTTATCCACTATTCGTTTGATGTTACACACTGATGCCAAAGCCTCTAAGAGCATCATCACCTACATTCCCAGTGGTTTTCTGATCTCAGCACGACGGGAGAAGCCTGTTTGTGCAGCCACATTGGTCACAATTCTCCTCACAAACAAAGCTCCTTATCGGGCTTAAACGTCATTCTGATCTGTTTCATCGGCCAAATCTGCAAAGCAGCACGAATTAGGAGCTTAATGCTGACCTACAGCGTATGCTGGAATGTGTCCTGAAATGTGGGACTTAGTCGTTTGTGACAGGAAGGAGCAAAATCAGTAGATCAGATCTCTGTTTGGTGTCTGCTTTGCCAGCTGATTCCAGTCATTTGCAGCACATTTACTGATGTAACCCTCTTTTTCCCTCTCTCTCGTGCCTTGAAGTGCAAATGTGCCACACGGCTCTTTTGCTTCGCCCTGTAATTTTTATCCAAACCGTTAATTTGAACAACAGTAGACTAACGAGTAGGATGGTGGATGCTGCTGGCCCTGAAACAGTCACTAAAAACTCCCACTGTTCAGCAAACAGACCAGTAGAACTAAAATTAATGGAAATACTCTGCCACAGCTATGATAAATAAAAAAAATATTTGCATAACTAATAAAAAAATGAAGTTTTGCTTCTTTTGTTTCTATTATAAAGAAACAGGAGCAAAACCAAGCATATATTAATCATAACTCCTTTCAAATACTGATTATATGTTATCTGTTAAAGCTGAACTTTGCATCTTTTTCATAGTTTTAAACAATTTCTTGAGCCAGTTTGTGCTAAAATGGCCATTTGCATGGTTGATGAAATGTCACTCAGACACCCACCGCCCTCTGTGGCCAGAATCCCGCACTTGCAACTTCAGAGTGCCGGTTCAGTCCCTGTTGGACTTAATAAAGCAGAGCTGACATTCCTGGTGCTGAAGTTAGCTTCCAGCGCGTTACCTACATGTTTCAGATCGTGATGATTTTTTGGGTTTAGTGATGAACTGCTCCTGTAGACACTAATGAAAGCTGAGGAGAAACT